GGGGACTCCGGGCGGCTTCGGCCCGGGGCTCCAATGGACTCGTCAATGTCCAGCCCCATGCCGGGGACAAAACCTGGCCAGCACAGCTCTCCTCCTGATCCACGGTCCCAGGGCACCCCCAAATCCCCGCACCAGGTCGCTGGGCATCACAGGAGTGACGCTGCTGCCTCCTTCAATACAGCCACTGTGTCCCTGAGCCCACGCCAAAACCTCTGCCTCAACATGGGGGGCACAAAATCCCCCCCCCAAGTCAACCCTGCGGGGCCAGCTCTGCCCTGGAGGCAGCTGCACAGGCCCACGCTCGCCCACCCCATCATCTCCAGGCCACGAGCACGGCGATGCCTCGCCGAGGTCACCGCCAGCGGCACGGCTCTCCCGGGAGGGTGCACGCTGCTGTCCCCGGACACAGGCCTCACCTCCCCGCCATCCCCTTCCCAACGTGCCGACTGCTCTGGCAGGACCCCGAACGCTGCACGTGGCCCTCCGAGGGGGAACGGACCCGCGACCCTCATTCCCACCAGCAGCCCTCCTGGAGCTGCCCGAGCACAAGCCCTGTGCCTTATCAGAATCAGATCATTGCTTCTGTTATTACATTTTTTTTCTATTAAGCTCCATCTGCGCAGCATTACGTTAAGACAGAGCCATCCTGCACATTTTCAACCCCCCGCTGGCCTGTTAGGACTCATCACGGACACCTCCTCCTACAGAGTCCTCAAAAAGAAAACATGTAGAAATTAGGTACAACAACAGTACATAAAACAATGCTAATAACTCACGGGTCAGAGTTAATTCAATAAGAATAACTTGCTTATTTATTTTATGGGCCTTTGTGGTTTCTTTAACTCTCAGTACCCAGCTTATTAAATGCTTGGATTTTGGAAGTGATGAGCTACACAAATATGCTGTGGTCACTTGGCAATCTCATCTCGTCTTTCTCCAACCCCCCCAAACGTAGGGATTTTGCTCCTGGCGTGTTACACACAGACACAAGCGCGTGCAGGCGCCGGGGCCAGCGGGGTGCTCCTCCGTGCTTCAACCAGCTCTCGGGACACGGGGCACCGGCCGGACACGCTCTGCTCCCTTCTCCCCCCCAGCCCCGCGGAGGCGGACGCAGAAGGGCTTTATGCAGGATTTTGCAGGATGGACTGAGAACAGCCCTCCACCCAGATCCGGGCAGGCACTGCGTTTGCCCCTGCAGGGCTTGCCCTGGCTTCAGGGTGCTGTTGTGTTCTCCGCAGCTACCCTCGAAAGCTTTGATACCCAGAGCTGCAGAACCGACTGGGTATCGGGGTGAGAAAGCCCACTCACACCAGCAGCAGCAGCACCCAGAACTGACTGGATATCGGGGAGAGCAAGCCCACCCACGCTGGCGGCAGCGGCACCCAGAACTGACTGGATATCAGGGAGCAGCACCCAGCACCCCGCCAGCGGAGCACTCACCCGTCCGCATCCTGGTAGTTCACGTTCAGACGCTTGGCAGATCCCAGGAGCTCTGCAGAGAGAAGAGGGGAAGGTCAGGGCAGGAGGCAGAGCCCGCAGGGCCCCCGGGACCCCGGATGAACCCCAACCCACAGCCACACCGACCTCCCAGCGCGCAGAACAGCGCCTGGCCCATCCCGGCGGCCTCTCCGCTCCTCTCCTCTCACTCCATGTTCACCTCCACGCACCCTCAGAGCCTGACCCAGCTCCAGCTCAGACCCCTTCCACCCTCTGTCCCTCCTGCCCCATCTCTGCGTGCCCCCGGGACGGGTTGGACCCTGCAGCTCCTGGCACCCCGGCTCGGCGGGACGGCACTTTCCTCCCCTTTATAGGCAGCAACACCCCAAAACTGCTGAGTGGGGCTGTTTCGCCCCCCACTCGCTCCCTGTGCCCGCTGCTGCCGCCGAGGCCTGGCCCCCAGACCACATAGTTGGCATTTTTACGGCTGGGG